CGCTCACCACCCCCAACCCCCTCTCCGCCATCTTGCTCCACCAATGGTCCCTTGTCTAAGATGTGGCCTGTTCTCTGCCCGCCCCCCACAGCACAATGGGGGATGCGAGCTATCCGCAGATCAGCAGGAATCCAATCCTTTGTTGTCCATCTCTGAGGTAACCGACACCTTACTCAACCACCACGCCTAGATCACGTGGTCGTCTGACACAAGGTAAAGATATAACGTGGCCCCTTCTGTTACGCCTGTCGTCTTGGTCCGCCTCTGCTAAGGTGCTCCTATCTTCAAGAATTTAGGATTATGGAGAAATTTTTTTGGGTTTAAACCAGAGGATACAGTACTTAGATCTTCAAACCACTGTATTTTAGTTGATATAGATTAATGACTTCTGCACTGTCACGACTCTTTTTGTTACTTCTTGCTGCTATTGCAACTTGAGAGCACATCAATGCAATCCATTGGCTAGAGAGACAACGCACCCATTCTTAATTTTCAGTTTTTTGGGTTTTTTAATTTCAATATATGTTGTGAAATATTTAAATCACTTACATCTTTTCAATTGAATATTGAATTTAGTAGTGATTCATATTTTATAATATATTTGTTAATTTTGGTGTGTGTTTAATTAGTGAAAGTCTTAAGGACTAGGTCATCAAGTCTCACTTTCTTACTGAATCTTTGATTTCAGAGGGAAGGAGGAAGGTGTTCTGTGTGGGAGCCCAGAAGTGACCTCTGACACACCACTTCTCGCCCAGTCCTGAGGGCAGCTTGTGACCCGATGCCTCCAGAGTCAGGTCATGGGGTCACCATCACCACAGTCCATGAAACAAGACCTTCAGGTCATTGAATCACCACCACAGCCCACGACCCAAGACTTCCAGGTCTTGGGGTCACCTCTACCAGCGCCCATGAATCATGACCTGCAGACTCAGGTCATGGGGTCACCACATCCCCAGCCCATGAATCATGACCTGCAGACTCAGGTCATGGGGTCACCACATCCCCAGCCCATGAATCATGACCTGCAGACTCAGGTCATGGGGTCACCACATCCCCAGCCCATGAATCATGACCTGCAGACCCAGGTCATGGGGTCACCTCACCCCCAGCCCATGAACCATGATCTACAGACCCAGGTCATGGGGTCACCTCACCCCCAGCCCATGAACCATGATCTACAGACCCAGGTCATGGGGTCACCTCACACCCAGCCCATGAATCATGACCTGCAGACCCAGGTCATGGGGTCACCTCACCCCCAGCCCATGAACCATGATCTACAGACCCAGGTCATGGGGTCACCTCACACCCAGCCCATGAATCATGACCTGCAGACCCAGGTCATGGGGTCACCTCACCCCCAGCCCATGAACCATGACCTCCAGACCCAGGTCATGGGGTCACCAGCACGTCCGCAGATGATGGTGCAGCAAAGCCCATGAAGCCAAAAGGTCAATGCACGAATTCTTCGCCGAACTAATTCAACAAATTGTCTAAACGATCGATTTGCTGGAAATAGCCCAAGGCTCTCAGAAAGCTAACTGAAGCTACGTGAGAATAAACTAAAAGCCTGGTGAGGTCACTAAGTCCAATATGGGGTTATTGGAAGTCCGGTAGGGCTAGTGCAAGTCCAGCGAGGCTCCTGGAATTGCCGTGGGGTTACTAGATGTTCGATGGAGCTGCTGGAAGTCCGATGTGTGAGACTGGAAGTCCGATGGAGGTACTGGAAGGCCAGCAGGAGGTTATACAAGGGGGGCAAACAAAAGGTTTGAAGCAATGATGATACAAACAGGAGAGCTGCTTGATTCTTCTACCATGGGATCTGGGAGCTTATCACAGCTGGCAAGGCTGTCTGCCTCACCCGTGCAACAACAGCTGGGTGGAACGCCTGCCACACCTCCACATCAGGTGACATATGGTGTTTACGATAAGCCAACACAACCATATTTCTTAAGGATCCAGAGACTTGAGAAGGTTGCTGGAGTGTGCGGTAAGAAACCAAGGGAGTCGTTAGGAAATTGTGAAGATTATAGAGTTGGAGAAACGAATTTGACTTCGCGTCCAAAAACACTCCGTAAGAGTGATCACCTTTTTCTTTTTCTTTCTTACCACAAAGTGATCTTCGATTCCTCTAAGAGGTTTGTGTAGGATGTTCTGTAACAGAATGAAACAGTCTTACGACACATTATGAAAAATACGTGACTAAATATGCACTTCAACTAAGGCGATGAAAAAGAAAGAGAGAAAAAGATTAGTATTTATTTGATCAATAACTGAAAACTCTTAGCGAGATCTTAGCGAGATCTTAGCGAGGTCTTAGCGAGATCTTAGCGAGATCTTAGCGAGATCTTAGCGAGATCTTAGCGAGATCTTAGCGATGTCTTAGCGAGATCTTAGCGAGGTCTTAGCGAGGTCTTAGCGAGATCTTAGCGAGATCTTAGCGAGGTCTTAGCGAGATCTTAGCGAGATCTTAGCGAGGTCTTAGCGAGATCTTAGCGAGATCTTAGCGAGATCTTAGCGAGATCTTAGCGAGGTCTCTGTGAGTTTTCAGGATGTTTTGTGGCTTGTCGCGCGATATTGTCCAGTTTTGATATAATACAAGCTGATGTCTGTCACCTAACGCCCCCCCCCCCTCTTTCCCCCCATGTTCCCCCCACGCTGGAATGAGCAGGGGAGGGGGTGAAGGGTGGGGGGGTAAGTATGAGTGAGCGAGTGAAACTGAGTAATTAAGTGAATAATCGTGTGACAGAGAATGTAATCGAATATGTGTGTGTGTGTGTGTGTGTGTGTGTGTGTGTGTGTGTGTGTGTGTGTGTGTGTGTGTGTGTGTGTGTGTGTGTGTGTGTGTGTGTGTGTGTGTGTGTGTGTGTGTGTGTGTGTGTGTGTGTGTGTGTGTGTGTGTGTGTGTGTGTGTGTGTGTGTGTGTGTGTGTGTGTGTGTGTGTGTGTGTGTGTGTGTGTGTGTGTGTGTGTGTGTGTGTGTGTGTGTGTGTGTGTGTGTGCGTGTGCGTGTGCGTGTGTGTGTGCGCGTGTAAATGCGTGTGCGTGTGTGGGTTACCAATACAAATGTCTTTGGAGAAAGTGGAATAGGCTCTTTAGGTGGGTTTGATCAGGATATTAATTACTAAGCGCAATAGGTAAGATAGGAAAATGTATCATTGCTGGCCATACCTGTGAATTATGAGGGAAACACAACGCCTTATTCGTGAGACAAACGGTGATGTATAAGGCAAAAAAGAAAACAGAGAACGATGGGTGTCGATGAAAAATTAAAATAGCTACCGCCAAAAAGTTAATTTGTCTCATGACAGAAAACGTTGATCCTCGAAAGAGAGAAAATGGATTTAATCACCGGAGAAAGAAAATGGGTATGCACCAAGACGGCAGCTAACGTCTAATTTACCATTTTTCAACGAATTATCATACATTTTATGTTTTAGATGGGTATAAAAACGATACTTAAATAAGCAATATAACGAAGTACCAATATCAAACAATATGTCACTGATTAAGATCAAATGCTAGCGGTGGTCACGTGACTCTTACGCTATGGACAAAATGGCCGTCCATGTTGACAGTCACCAGACCAGAAAATTAACTACGTCAAAATAGTACTTAATGCGAAGTTAATGGGACCAAACGTACAGAAAAATTCAGGGCGACTGTAATTGGGGCTGGGAACCTAAAACTGGAACGTGAATCGAGTCTATTGACTGAGCGAAGTATACAAGGTCAGTTGGGGCTGAGTGCATGGGGCTGAGTGCATGGGTTGAGTGCAAACCATTTCACGGGTATTTGAAGGGAGTGTACAGCGTCTGGTGTATGTAGGGGCGACGGGGGGGGGGGGGGTTGTAGTCTGCAGAAGGTGTAGCCTACCAAGTGTATACAGAAAGTGTATGTGGTATACCTGGAGTGTATGTAGTATGCCTGGAGTGTATGTGGTATGCCCGGAGCATGAGTGCCCGGGGTGTGGCAGGAGAGGCACTCACCAGTGACCCGTCGACACACTCGCAACACAACGCCACAGACTCCGTATTGCTCTAGTCAAGAATTAATGTTATATAAACTGATGGAGGAAGAGGCACCCCCCCACCTCCCCCCCTCCCCCCCCTTGACGGGACAACACTTAACGAGAAACAAAAAAAGAGACAAAAAAGTGCAAAGAAACACTTGAAACTTGAAGTGCGTGTCGATGGAAGATTGAGTGTAAAATAGAAAAAATAAAAAACAAAATAATAATTTGTGATAGAGGAAAATGAAATGTGACAGAAACATAAAGCCTCAGTGCATAGAAAAAAAAAACAAAGAAAAAAAAACACACGAAAAATAAAAAAATTAAAAAAAAATTAAAAAAATAAAAATAATTTTTCCATCCAGTTCGTTAGTTGTGAACGCATTAATAACCCCTTGTGTAGTGGGTGCTCTGAGGTGTCGTGGCACCTCACCCCCCACTGTGTACTGAGGTGTCGTGGCACCTCACCTCCCCACTGTGTACTGAGGTGTCGTGGCACCTCACTCCCCACTGTGTACTGAGGTGTCGTGGCACCTCACCCCCCTGTGTACTGAGGTGTCGTGGCACCTCACCCCCACTGTGTACTGAGGTGTCGTGGCACCTCACCCCCCACTGTGTACTGAGGTGTCGTGGCACCTCACCCCCCACTGTGTACTGAGGTGTCGTGGCACCTCACCCCCCACTGTGTACTGAGGTGTCGTGGCACCTCACCCCCACTGTGTACTGAGGTGTCGTGGCACCTCACCCCCACTGTGTACTGAGGTGTCGTGGCACCTCACCTCCCCACTGTGTACTGAGGTGTCGTGGCACGGGCTTCGTCACGTCGGCCACGGTTAATACGTGTACGGTGTTGAACCCCGGGTGTTGTGTTCCGGGTGTTGAACCCCGGGTGTTGAGCCTCGGGTGTTGAGCCCCGGGTGTTGAGCTTCAGGTGTTGAACCCCGGGTGTTGAGTTCCGGGTGTTGAACCCCGGGTGTTGAGCCTCGGGTGTTGAACCCCGGGTGTTGAGCTTCAGGTGTTGAACCCCGGGTGTTGAGCCCCAGGTGGTGAACCCCGGGTGTTGAGCTTCAGGTGTTGAACCCCGGGTGTTGAGCCCCAGGTGGTGAACCCCGGGTGTTGAGCCTCATGTGGTGAGCCCCGGGTGTTGAACCCCAGGTGTTAAGCCCCGGGTGTTGAACCCCAGGTGGTGAACCCCGGTGTTGAACCCTGGGTCTTGAGCCTCGGGTGTTGAACCCCCGGTGTTGAACCCCAGGTTTTTAACCCCGGGGGTCGAACCCCGGGTATTGGGAATGCCTTGGACCTCTAATAAAGGTGCGTGTTGCCCTGGGTCCCTCACTGTGCCCTTCAACAGTTTGCTTATTAAATTCAAATTCAGTAGTTTTAAAAATAAATAATAATAATAATAATATTTTATGCCTATTAGAGTCCGTAGATTTTATGATTCTTGAATAAAGTGGTAATTATCTTCAGTTGTTCCAACTCAGGAACTAATCAAAGTATAATTAATTCCTGTCCACCTGAGGACTAATTGCTGAAATTGTGTGGCATTTAAGCAATCAAGTTCTAATGCAACTTACAATAAACTTTGAGAATTAGACGTTTAGATTAAAAAAAAAAAATACACGTAGCTCACCCAATGTCCAATTGCGTGTGTGGTATTGGAGCATGTGGGCGGGGCTTGTGACCTCATCAGTTGCGTCACCACTATGACGTCACAAACCCTCCTGCTATTGGCTGAGAGCTTCATCCCTAATAGTTGCCAGTTCTCCTAAATACATCATTTTCTTTGTTAATGATTATATGAGCTAAACACAAAAAACAGATGGACTAACCTCTATGAGATATCCAAGGCATTAAATCATAATCAAAACTTTTTAAGGAGTGACCCCCACGGTGCTGCGAGAGGCAGAGTGTGTACATAACAGCCTTACGGTGTAATCTTTCCTATTTGGTAACTCTAGAGTGCTCCGATATTTTGGAATAGGTGGTCGTGGTGAGACCAACTGTACTATTTTCCCCCAGACCAAGTGGTCCGTCTCTGTAAAGTTTATTTAACGCACATTTTTCCTAGTGGACAGAATACAAATTAGTTTACAGTTCAGCTCTAGGACTAATAGTATCCTAACTAATTTTACTACTATTTAACATGTATTTATGATCAGGTATTAAAAGATTTAGTATACTATTTTGTATCCTACATACGTACAAAAAAAATTAGCTCCCATTGAACAAGGTATCGATATAATTGTATATAATAATACATGTTAGTGTTGGGATAATTTCGTACCTCTTTGACACCAGTTTGGCCAATCAGGGTTTGAGTAACACTTTTGGGGTGGTCAAGAGCCAATTAGAATTCACAAAAAGCTTTTAGGGTGGTCAAGAGCCTATCATAATTCACAAGAAAGCTTCTAGGGTGGTTAAGAGCCTAATCACAATTCACGAAACGCTTCTAAGATGGTCAGAGGCCAATCATGGCTCGCGAACAGCTTCTAGGGTGACCAACAGCCAACTGGAAACGGGAACATAATACCAAGAGGCTCGTGAGGAACCATTAAAGTGACTACGGGCTCGCCATAGCCCGTGCTGCTTGGAAATTTTTGTTTCAAGTAGCGAATCTTAAACAGCAACAACAACCACACACCAATACAGGAGTTTAATCAATCTCATCCACATCAAATTTCGCTTTGTAAATTTAGGTCGTACAACTCCCTGACCTGGGAGTAAAGAATGACTTCCGGCAACTCCTTAATGCATCAACTCTAGTAAACACAACTTGACAGAAGCAGGACTTCACGTCAGCTATCCTCAGGCAGTGACTGTTCCGTTAACTACAAGACCTAATGGCACACACAACATGTTATCAATGGGTAGATATGTGAGTGGTTCTCCGGGTCCATTACATGTCAGCTCGTTCTTAAGGTTCGGTGTGTTTGGAATTAAGTCCTGCCAATCTCTGGAGAGTTATTAGAATGTCTATTATTTCCAGCAGGAGGGTTATTAAAGACAATCAACCTCTGTTGTGTTAGTGATACCAACCAACCTTAATAGGGTTATTATGGCTTTTTAACTTTTGTAAGGTAATTAAGATTACCGCAAAAGACTACCGACCAACACGCAGGTATAATTTAGATTTCAACTAAGAATTAAGTAAACTCTGATTGTACGAAGACCAAGAAGTAAACTACACTTCTAGGTGTATATTCTCTTTACTTAAGAACTAGTAAACA